AATCACAGCATGCAGAGGGATATCCTACATCATTCCTGACTGACTATTCTCTCTGTATATATCTCTTCTAGCCTGGCTATATTCTGCCCTGTCATAGGCCAAACTAGCTTTATCCATTGGCCAATAAAAGCAACACATATACAGAAGGACATCCCATATCACAAACACATCGCCATTAAACAATAACCTTTCCTTTCTTTCCTTGTCTCCAAGATCTCATGTTAACATCATAATGTCAAATGTAGTACAACTTTTAAAATAAGGTTTATTTTTATGTGTATCAGTGTTTTACCTGTTATGTTTATGTCTGCCACATACATGCCTGGTATCCATGGAGGCCAGAAGAGGCTGTCAGATACCCTGAAACTGGAGTTACAGATGGCTGGCTCCTGTAAAATAAAAATAATTTTTTAAAAAAAGTTACATAATTCTTATTCCAAAGGGAAAGAACCAGGACAATGGAGCAATGAAGCTAAGGCAACCCCCATCCCCCAAATTAGTAGTGTAAATAAACTCCCATAGCTCACTGTCTGGCATCTGGAGCTCACTCATGATCTTCTGGGCTCCACAGGGCTTGGGTACCAAGTCTCCTCTCCCCAGTTCTGCCATCCACAGCACACACACTTGCAGGCTCAGGATGGCGCTATTCCACACCTGCTTAGTAGATATCTCATGTGGCCTCTCAGGGTCTCTCTTCAGGGGCTCCAACACTGCTGCAAGGGGTCAAGTCTTAGCTGCTCTCTTTGTGTCTTTAAAACCAGCACCACATGGGAGACGCTTACGCATCATTTGCCAGGTTCTGCTGCCAGCTCGACGTACAGCCTTGAGACCTTTGGACTACAGTTTCGATGTGCTGATCTTGTCCCAAGGAGGCACGGAAGTTTACACTCCAGGGGTGCTGATCTTTTCTTCATCACAGCTGAATTTGCAGCTCCAGCTGACCGGCATCCATTGTCTCAGTAAATTACAGAAAGTTTCATTTCAGTGGTGGTGGTCTCTTGATAATCATTACTGACTCTTGCAACCACAGACACTTAATCCAAAATATCACACAAATGTGATCCCGATAGAGTCTTTGTGTCCCTTAGAAATGTCGCAAGCCATCTTCTATTGTCTGCATCTCTCTGAACATTCTTAGCCCCAAGCTCCCACAGAAGAGCCCACTAAGCTCTGAGGACCCAGTGGTTTTTCTAGCTCCATGTGTCAAATATTGCCACAATCTTCCAGCAAGCAAGGTCCCTTACAGCCACATCCCACTGACTCGGTACCAATTTCTATTCTAGTCTGCTTTTGGGTTGCTTCGATAAAACCCTGTTTTCCAAAGCAACTTGCGGGGAGGAGGAAAGGGTTTATCTGGCTCATGCTTCCAGGTCACAATCCATCACTGAGAAGTTAGGGCAAGTGCTCAAGCAGGAACTGAAGCAGAAGTCACGCGGGAATGTTGCTTGCTGGCTGGCTCTCTGGCTTACGTTCAGCCAGCTTTCTCCTACAGGCCCACCAATCTGGGGATGCTGCTGCTCACAGTGGCCTGGGCCCATCTGCATTAACCATCACTCAGGGCAATCTCTCACAGACACGGCTTTGCATGGCCAATCTGATTGACGCAATTGTGCAGTTAGGGCTTTCTCTTTATAGGTGATTCCAAGTTGTGTCAAGCTGACAATTTATTGTATGTGTGTGTGTGTGTGTGTGTGTGTGTGTACCCAGGGCCGCAGGCATTTTATCAGCACTCTACCACTGAGATACCTCCTCCATTCTTCATCCTGTTGGTCCTTGTTGGTTTGTTTTGAGATAGACTACGTAACTGTTGCTTTCCTGGAACTCAATATGTAGACCAGGCTGGCTTCAGACTGACAAATATCCCCCTGCCTCTGCCTCCCAGCTCCTGGGGCTAAAGGTATGGACACTATGCCTCATTAGTTATTTTAGTTCAGAAAGCTGAAACAAAGACCAATTATGTATAAAAAATCACTTTTGAAGTTGCATTTAGTTTGAAAAAAAAACCACTTGAATTATGTGTATGTGTTTGTGTATTTGAGTGTAGGTGCCTGTAGAGGTCTCTGGCTGTTACAGGCAGTGTGTGTGTGTGTGTGTGTGTGTGTGTGTGTGTGTGTGTTGTGTCTGCCCTGAAGTCTGAAAATCTTTTTTTGTAAAAACATATTGTGTGTTGATGTGAGTAAGACCTGAAGTTGGCATCCAAGTCTGTGTGTGAAGCTCAAAGGACAATTTCATGGAGTTTTTTTCTCTCTTTCTACCAGGGACCCAACTCAGATCTTCAGGATTGGTCGGCAAATGCTTCTCCTGTGGGGCCATTTTGCAAGCCCTGACAGCCCGTTCTTCCCTTAGGTGCCATCAACAGCGGTGGCAACAAGAGACAGTGTAGGCATTGGTGGGTGGACTGGGTTCTCTGACGTCTTATGACATCACTTCCTGGCTGGGAGCAAACTCAGTGGCTTTTTCCTTACATAGTAGTCACCGAGACCTTAGGGGCTGAGGTCCTGTAGTCACATAGGGGGACAACAATGACCTTAGGAGCTTGAGGAAGGGGCTGAAAGGTTAAAAGACATGTGATGTGACAATCTCTGAGAGATCCTGGCACTGGAGGTAGTGGCTGCTTCCTCTCCTTTCGTGGAAGAAGGAGAACTGTTGGGGCACATGTGGGTGGCGCCTGAGCTTAGGGTGACATTTTGGACGGTCCAGTGCTGCGTGATGAGTCCTGCTCTCTGCATTTTTTGAATGTCCACAGCCTTTCTAACCTCCACTCACCAAGTTCTAGCATTAGCAGCCCTTCCCCCACCAGCTCACATCTATGAAAAATGTCGATACACATCGCCAAATATCCCCCGAGGAGCGAAATTGCCGCAGGTGGAGTATCAGTCTCACCAGGAGGTCAGAAGTCTAGACACCGAGGAGGGTGAGGGAGCCTTCCTTTCAGTTTGGACCTCTCAAGCGGTCCAAACCTGACTGGAACTTGCTAAGCTGAAGGCTGGGAGGACCATAGTCTTCTGTGAAGAGCCAAAGATAATTACTAGTGAGTAGAGGCAGGGGCAGCAAACAGGAGAGGGGGGTATTCCAAGTCAGGTGTTACCGGGTGGCCTACCCATGGGTGTCACTTACAACAGACACCATCTGGCAGCTTCTTCTCTCCACTAGTCTCGCTAAGAACATGACGAGCTCTTAAAAAAATCATCATTTTAAAATGCTGCCCACACAAAAGCTCAGGACCTTGGGGCAAAGCTTAGGCCTTTCTGTTTGTGGATCTGAGAGAGAGGGTTTTGTGTGTATTCACCAATCACGATCCCTTCTGCAGAAGGCTGTTTTAACGAGACCCACCGGCCATGAAAGCTCAGCGGGCGCCCAGGCCAGAGTCGGGGAGACTGGGGAAGAGGTAACGGGAATAGCGAGGGCCCGAGTCTAAGGTGGAATGGAGGCTGGAGGGGCAGAAACGGGGAGGTGATATAACCAGCTGGTCTTGAATGGAGCTCAGGAGGAGGGAGTCAGGGCAAGGCTCCAGCTGTCTGGTTTGGGCATCACCATAGGGGATGAGAAGGGAAGAACCAGAAGAGGCAGGGACAGGAGAGGGAAGAAGGTGATGCATTGGGGTAGCGAGTCAGGACTGTGAAGGAAATTACTGCAGCCCTGGAAGCTGAGGAGGAGGCTGGAGATAAGGCTGTGAGTCAGGCTTTGCAGGTAGCAGCTGAAGCTGTGGGTGAGATTGCCCAGGGGACTGTGTGGAAGGAACCGGAGTAGAAGAGAGGCTGTGTGAAGACCTGAGGAACCGCAGCTGTTTTCTGTTCTGAGTCAAATCCTACTCAAGGTCTGTGTCCCACGATCCCGGTCCCAGCCCACAGCCCACAGCAATTGCTCCATTCTTTACGCCCTCCTCTAAGGAATCTGAGCTTCTTGTCTCGTTCCACCCAAAGCGTGACCACACTGAGGTGTTTTGGAGCCAACAACAAAAGTGTTTCTGTTTGCTTTGCTGAGTTTTGCCCATTGCTAGGTCTAATTAAAGCATGGGTCCCGTTTGGGGGAGGGGTGTCCTGTTCCTGGTTCCTCTAAATCGGTTAAATCTGGCCACAAACCCTCCCTCTGAGTGTTTTGACGGCCCCTGCTATGGGATTCTTAGTTAAAGATTCTGGGTCCCCCGAGGGTTTTGACTAGAGGACAAAGCTCAGGTCCCCTAGAAAGAGATCACAATCCATTTCCTCCTGGGCAGCCCTGAGCTCAGGGCTGATTTAGTAAGTCAACATGCCTTGGGTTTGCTTGGTGGATGCCGAACCCTGATTCCGAGAGCAGTTTGGGAGACACTCTCCTGTGAGTGTCCCTTTAAAACTGTCAGATGGCCAGCGGTTTATTTCACTAAAAGTAAGTTAGGTGGCGAAGCAACGTGCTGGACAATGGAGCCTGGGATCGTTGTTTATTTTGGAAAAAAATCCTAAGATTCCGTTAATCCAGTTGTAATTGGGGATCAGTACTGGAAAGACTGGTTAGGGGCCTTTGAGAGCCAGGCAGAGGAAGGACAGCTCAGAAGCGCTGTCAACTGTTTTCTCTCCTCACTGGGGTTATCAGCCAGAGAAGGTACAGCTGATCCCTGGGCGGTTTTCAGCAGGCAGCGTCTGAACTTTAACCTACTGTTGCAATCAGAATCATGCGTGGGAGTCACAGGACCTGGGCCCCCAGCAAGGGGTTACCTAGATGACAGGCATGCTCTGACTGCATCTGGCCCAGGCTGTGAGGGGTGCCACGGCCTGTTAGTTAGTTCTGGTGTATAAACAGGGGGTGGGCACCAGTGAGACATGGTGACTCCCGGAGAAGGCAGTGTGGTCCAGAGAGCTTGGTCCTTCCCTCTGCCACGGGGGTAAAGGTTAACAGCGTTTGGGGCAGTGGCTTGGGCTGTCATGTCGTTTACTCATCTGTCCCGAGCGTTCTCTGAGTGCGCACTCTTGATTTTTGCCCCCAGAGGTTTTTTTTTGTTTTTTTTTTTAACCCTAGATGATTTTCCTTCCTGCCCATGTCGCCTGTTTACTGATGTGTGAGTCACAGGTTGTGGACCCAGTGTCCTCAACCAGGAGCATCTAGGCATGGTTCAGCTGGACAGCAGCTGGGAGCTCCAGCTCCCCAAGGGCAGGGCTGACTCCTGATTGGCACTGGCAGGTGCTTCCACCCTTCCCTTCTGCCCAGGGTCCCCTCTTTTCTCTATGCTACCCCTCTGCCATACTTCCTCCCACTCCTGAGTCTTTAGCTCAGGGATGCACAGTGGCTTGGTTGGCGCTTAGTGAAGCTTTAAACGCCCTGCGTTGGGAGGGTGGCTATCCCTAGCCTACATTCCCAAACTCATTTCAGCATTTCTGTTTCTTTTTAGGTCTAGGGATGCTCCACAGGGCAGTGCCATCACCGTTAGTAGGTCCTACTCTGTCTTTTTGTTATTTCTCCACACATGTGACGTTTGTAACTGTGGATTTATGCAATCCCATTACACATCATTTTTTTTTTTTTTTTATTTCACTTTGGCAGGAGGCACCTCATTTTTATCCTGGATCTGGGAAGAACATGCTCCGGGTGGTGAAGCCTTAGGGCCGAGGTGAGAGTGGACTTCAGATGGGAGGGGTTACAGGAGCGGGCAGCAGAGAGGCAGAGGAAGGGCACGGTGGCCTTTGTAGGCAGCTGGGGCTTGCTGGAGGGGCTGCAGGGTGTGGGCCGTGTTTTCAGCCTCCTCCTAGGGTCCGTGGGCTTTGTCTATCACCTTCTGCAGCAGCCTGCCTCCTCTGGCTGTCAGTTGGTGTGAGTCAGGAACAGTGGGAATGTGGAAGGCAGAGGAAACACACCAGGGAAGCTGTTCTTGAAGCCTCTTGGAATTCCTTATCTCTCCATCCTTTGGGTAGAGCAATCGGAAAGCTACTTGCTCTTTGTTTGGGAAGGAATGGTCTGATGGTTAGCATGGAGGGCCTTGCAGGCGCTGGTGGCTGCGGTAGAAACTATGGAAACCGACATGACGGCCCACAAGTAGTTGCTACGTTGGCAGGGAGACGCGAGGAAGGCTGTGAGGGTGCTCCACAGCCTGGCTTAGTGTGAACCAAGTCCCAAGAAGTCCCAGGGCAAATCCAGTAAGAGCGGTGCGGTGGGCTCATGTCAGATGGGCAGGTAGAGGGGGAGGCTGTGAATTCAAGGAGCCTCTTACAGTTTCAAAGGTTAGTCCATTATCATCATCCGGCAGACAGGCAGATGTGGTGCTGGGAGCAGTCGAGAGGCCTACATCTTGCAGGCCATAGAAAGTCGCGTGACTCTCACACCGAGTGAAGCTTGAGAGAAAGACCTCAGAGCTCACTCCCACAGTGACACACTTGCTCCAAGAGAGCCACACCTCCTAGTAGTGCCTTTCCCTTGGTGGGGGGGGGCATTTTCTTTCAAACTACATATTCCATTCCCTGGCCCCCAAAGGGTTATAGCCATATCACAATGCAAAAATGCATTCAGTCCAACTTCAAAAGTTCCCATAGTCTATAACAGTCCCAAACTTGCTTAAAAATTCAAAGTCTCTATTGAGACTCATGGCAATCTCTTAGCTGAAATCACCTGTAAAAATCAAAATAAAAAAGCAGATCACATACTTCAACATATAATGACACAGGATACACAATACTGTTCTAGAACACAGGAAAGGGAGCACATTGAGGAAATGCTGGACCAAAGCAAGACCAAAAACCAGCTGGGAAAACTCCAAACTCTGCATCTCCATGTCTGATGTCAAAGCGCTCTCCACGTCTCTCAAATGGCATTTAGCTTTGTTGACTGCAAGCAACACACTTCTCTTGGGCTGGTTCCACTCCCTGTTAGCAGCTCTCTTAGGCAGGTATCCCATGGCTCTGGCATCTCTAACACCATAGGCTTCCCAAGGCAATCCAGGCTTCAACTTAACAGCTTCAACTTAACGGCCTCTCTATTTGGCTTCTATTCAGGGACACCTCCGACACACACCTGGCCTTAGTGGCTTTATTCTGTAACTTCGTTCTTCTATCCTTAACTCTAAAGCCAGAACCACATGGTCAAAGCTGCCAAGTTCTGCTGCTTGCTGGGGCTGGACCATGGCCTTCTTGTTCGTTGACATCTTCACCAGCTTTCTGTCCTTCACTGCCTAAGCTTGGCTGTTCTGAAACTTGCTCCATAGACCAGGTTGGCCTCGAACTCAGAGATCCACCAGCCTCTGCCTTCCCAGTGCAGGGATTAAAGGTGTGTGTACCTCACCACACCAAGCTCTAGTTCCTTTTCATGAGTTGGAAACCTAGCTGGGTGGGATCTTGCCCTGAGGGTACCAGTCTCTTTATTCCATTTCTTAATCCATTTAAAGATTTAGCTCCATTCCATTTTCTGGTGCTCTTTTTCTCCTCAAATATTTTTCCTTGCTCCTTTCCATCATATGCCTTCATAAGAGTTACTACTAATATCCACACGGCAGAGTCTATACTAGCCTGTTTTGAGATTTCTTCTACCAACAGAATTAATATAAAACTCTTCACCTTAGCCTTAGGCAGATTTTCAGACAAGGGCAAAAAGCAGCCTCGTCTTTCACCAAAATATCACAAGAATGATTTCTAGGCGGCATATTAAAATTCTTCTCTGCAACCGCTTGAGCCAGCTCCCGACATTTCAAACCATCCTCAGCACCGTTGTCTTCCATGTTCCTTCTAGGATGCCCCATTAAATAATGCTTAAAGCATTTCACTGCTGTCCTAACCCAAAGTACCAAAGTCCACATTACTCCAAACAAAAGCATGGCCAGGCCCCATCACACCAGAACCCTAGTCCCTGGTAGCAACTTCTGTCTTGGTTTGGGTTTCTATTTCTGTGAAGAGACACCATGGCCATGATAACGCTTACATCTAATTGAGGTGGCCTCTTCCCGTTTCAGAGGTTCAGTTCATTATCATCATGATGGAGAGCATGGTGGCATGCAGGCAGACCAGATGTTGGCTACATCTTGGCCAGAAGGCAGCAGGAAGTCAACTGACGGTCACACTGAGTAAAGCTTAGAGAAAGACCTCGAAGCCCGCCCCCACAGTGACACACTTCCTCCGCAGCCACACCTCCTAATAGTGCCATTCCCTTTGGGGGGTCATCTTTCAAACCACTACAACCTTGATTTGTCAATTTTATGTGTTTGTTTGTTTTGCTTTCATGTTTGTGCACAGAGAACAATCTGGAAGGAGGAAATTCACTCGCGTGACTGGTGCCCGAGGAGGACTGGAGAGAACGTCTGGTCTTCTGAGCCTGGAATGAGAGGGGGTTGTGAGCTGCTATGTGGGTGCAGAGACTTCTGGAAGAGCACCAAGCATTCTCAACTGTAGAGCTGTCTCCCTAGTCCAGTGCTTGCTTTTAATCCCAGCATTCAGGGGCCAGAGGCAGGTGGATCTCCAGGAGTCCAGTGCCAGCCTGGTTTACATAGCAAGTTCCAGACCGTCCAGGGCTGCGTAGTGGGACCTTGTCTCAGTAAAACAACAACAAAAATAAACAACAAAAAAGAGCTTTGGGGTCAGAGCTGGGTCATGGGTCAAAGATCACTGTTTAACCTTGGAGGATTCATTCTCTGAGCCTCAGCTTCTTTCTGTGAAGAAAAGAGCATCCTGGTCTAGATATTTTAGGTGTTTGCTGAGATCACCTGGGACAAAGGGAGTGCTTCTTGGAGTTAGTGGCAGCTCTTACCTTTCTTTTAGAGATGACCATTTCTTTGGCTTCCTCCTAAGACCCACCTTTCCTGCTCCTTCAACCTACTAAGGAGAGACTGTCAAACCTGGCTGCTCTGGTTCCTTCAAATCTGATTGTATATATCCTCCTGGCAGTTGGTTCCCATCTCTCTGGCTATGACTTCCTGGGTGTCTGAGAACTTGGAGGACAAGAGAACCACAGTGAGAAGACTGGTCCACAGAATTCATGGGCCTGATTGTGAGCCTGAGATGTCCCCACTATGGGATCCTATCAAGCCCACGAGGTCTGGAAAGGTGGGCTCAGAGGGGTTTTGCGTGAGCATTCCAGCCTCTGGGATTTAGGCAAAGGGCATCGAAAGTTGCACCAAGCTTTGTGTCTGATCTCCTGTCCTTGAGGGTCTTTCATTGAGAGAACCAGAGCTTGGCTAGGTGACTCCCAAGGAGGTTTAACCCCTTCCTGGATGTTTCAGGATCAGCTCCCGAGAAACTGGGGAAGACAAGCAGATGTAGGAAGAATTGCTCGTTGACTCGATGGGTATTTATGAGAAGCTGGACATTGCAGAGAGCACATAGGTATGTGCTATCAAACAACTGAAACTCTTCCAGGAGGAAGGAAAAGACCTGAGTGTTTAAATAAATAAACAAGAGAGCTCAGCTTGAAGCCAGTGTTGTAAAGATCAAGAGGCAGGCAGTGGCTCTCAACTTTGAACATGCAGCAAAGTCACCTGGAGGGCTAGAGAAAACACAGGTGGCCCGCCCCCATCCCCAGAGAGTCTCCCCAGTGTGTCTAGGGTGGGGCCAACATTTGCATTTTCAGCAAGTCCTCAGGTTGTGTAGTTGTTCCTGATCTCTGGACCCACTTTGAGAGCCAGGATGGCAGTGTGTATGTTTGTGATGCTGTGTGTGGGTGATGATGTGCATTCGGGGAAGGGGTGATGGTGTGAATGCTGGGGACAATGATGCTGAGGGGTGATGGTACGTGCAGTGGTGGTGATATGTATGGGGGCGATGGGGTGTGTGTAATGGGATAATGGTGTGAGGGGCTGATGGTGTAGGGATGGATGGGTGTTGGAGGTTGATGGTGTCAGGGGATTATGATATTGGGGGGTAATGGTATCAGAGGCTGCTGGTGTAGGGGTGATGTGTATGTGCGTGTGATGTCAAAGCGACAGAAGCTGCATTATTTGTAGTTCTTCTGAGGTCAAGGACAAAGAAAAGGAAGACTTCTCCCCTCTCCTTCTGCTTTTGTCAATACTCAGAATAGTTTTTGGAATCTCCTTGAGCGTTGTCTTGTCTTAGGATGCAGGTCTGGTGCTCCTTTGCAATCGAGAATCTTTTCATGTCTATTTATTCTCCACCCCTGGATCTTGCTTGCACTGCAGCAACCTTGAAGGGAGCTCTGGTTGTATGTAGCCCAGACCCACCTCAGATGTCACCCCTATATCTGTGCTTACATTAAAAATAAAATCTGTGTACATAAAAATTACTGTGGATGAATAGATTCTAATGAATACCAAGACAGACGATACAACTTCTTGATCTGTCTGCAGTGTCTGCTGCCGGGCTGCCATAACCCAAACTGTGCTATCTGATTTCAAATATTCATTTGATCAGTTATTTACACCTGAGCACTCTGCTGGGTACACTAAAGATAGGCCCAGGCCTACGTGACCTCATAGTCTGATTGGGGATGCAGAAAAGTTGCTAGGTAATTACATGTAAGACATCATCTTAGGTCCTATGGCAGCGGAAGAACAGGGTGACATGGCGTCACAAAACCGTAAGATGACAGAGGGCTTCCGGGAGGAGGTGGTAAATAAAACGAAGACTGAGTAGAGTAGGTTAGGAATGGTGTAGAGGAGGAAATATGCACGGTTGTTTTGGATAGAGATGCAGAGTAGTCGGGCAGTTGCTGCTACACGTCTGTAATCCTAGCACTTGGAGGCAGAGGCAGGTGGATCTCTGAGTTTGAGGTCAGCCTGGTTTACAGAGTGAGTTCCAGGACAACCAGGGCAATGCAGAGCAACCCTAGCTTGAAAAATGAGAGAGAGAGAGAGAGAGAGAGAGAGAGAGAGAGAGAGAGAGAGAGAGAGAGAATAGGCAAAAGCCCAGGTGAGGAAGAACAGGACACCTCCCCTGACAAGCACTCATCTTGTGCAAACCGGGCCAAGAGGTGGGGCTAGATCTTGAGTGACCTTTCAGGGATGAAGGAGCAATGAATTTTAGGAGTCACGGAAAAAAATGTCCCCGAGATTTCATTGGTGGGTTTCTGTTTACCCAGAGTGTGAGGTTCCGGCTTATGCTCAGTGTGGGGATTAATCTGACACCCTTGTTAGGACAGCATGAGAAGCCAAGGACTGGATTTTGCTGTGAGTTGGCTCTGCTGGCAGCCAGGCCCAGGGCCCCTGCTTTCACTTCCTCCCACCTGTGGAACTAGGAGTCTGGGCAAACCAGTTTTGAATTCTCTGCATCAAAGAGCCTTCTCAGAAGCAAAGGCCCAGCTCTATTGCGTTAGAGAAAGAATACAGAACAGAATATATCCTGAACAGCTGTAGAAATGCAGTGGATAGCACTGTCCCCGGTACTGCTGAGCCCAGAGACCCACAGGGCAAACTTCTCTGCAGCCTGTCTGCACACCCGTCATATTTCCAGGGCTCCGTGAACTTCAGCAAGATGACTTGGTTCCGACATCTCACTCTTTATTGTTGGACTATGGGGAGAGTGGCTGCCTCTAGGAGCATCCTGGGAATGTCAAGTGTAGACATGAGATTATAGCTAAGAAAACACTGGGCTCCTAGGGAAAAGCGCTCACCATCCAAGATGTTCAAGGCTTTTAGTGCCCTGGATGGACAACTCTGTGTTTTTGTACCTATGTGTATATTTAGGGGTTAGCCATTCAATGTAATAGCTGTATGTACTTTATGTCCATAGACATGCTTCCCAGTTGCTTCTTGTTAGACAGTCTTCTATTTATGTCTGTGTTTATACAGAGATGAGCATGTTTAAAAAAAAGTTTAATGTCAACAGAATTTCCAACATAGCTCAATCCAACATTTTTTTAGTACAGGTTTTTTGTTTGTTTGTTTGTTTTTTGTTTTTGTTTTTTTTGAGACAGGATTTCTGGAATTCTAGTACAGATTTTACTGTGTTTGGAAAACCTGCACACTTGCAGGTAAAGTTTACATTTTGTGTCAGAACTGTCTATTTTCTGAAACTTTTTGGGCCCTCACTTGTATTCTAAAGTACATTATTTTGCAAGGCTTGAGATTCCCCTGGGCACCCTACTTTCTTCATGAGGCAGTGCCCTCTCTTCCAAGCTCAGGTATTGTTTAGATAGATAGCTCCCTACACACTAATGGGCTTGCTTTCCTTGTGCTATGGCTGAGCTGGGATTCCCCCCAACCCTTCCTTGTTTAGACCCTAAAGAACACTGAAAATCAGATGGAAGTTCTGTGCAAGGAAGACAGTGGGCTCCTCCCATTGCTCAGCCTGGATTACATGTTTGACTCAGATGGGAAAGAAGATGTCAACCCAGGAGTCATACCTTTGTAGGGCCTTTCTTGGTGTGTGTTGGGAGGGTGGCAGGGAAGGTAGGGAAATAAACTTCCACCTTGCAACACAATCCAGGTGCGAAAGGGAGGAAAGCTGTACCCAGGGATGCTGCCAGATGCAAATACAGTTTCTGGTGACAGAAGAGCTAAGGCTTTTTTGTTTGTTTGTTTGTTTTGTTTTTTTTGTAATACAAACCTTAGGAGCAGATTTGTAAAGAGAAGCTAGGTGCTTTTAATCAGTCTCTGGACAAAACATATTGTAACCTACTGTTCTGTAGAAGACAAGTTTGAATGCAGTCGTGTCTCTACCCCCCTACCCCGTTCTACCTCTCCTACAGTGATATAGCACAGTGTGAACCTATGTCATGGGCTCACAACTCTACCTCAAAGAGGGCCAAACTTATCTTACTTTAATCTGAAATTTTATTTTGAGACTGGATTTCACTATGCAGCCCTGGCTGTCCTGGGACTCTATGTAGACCAGGCTGGCCTTGAACTCACAGAGCTCTGCCTACCTCTGCTGGGAGTAAAGGTGTGACCTTCCTGATTTGCTAGTGAGGCTCAGCATCTTTTCATATATTTAGCGGTCATTTGTGTCTCTCATATCTATACATAAATATTTCCTCGTATAGTTATTCTTGGTATTTTATCTTATTTTGCTTTTCCAGGTGTTCCTTTCTTGTTAAGGAGGTGCTAGAGCCAACTGAAGAATGGAAGGGCCCTGTGAATTGAAAAGATAAAAGCATTTCAAAGCAGAAAAAAAAGTCAGGGAGACAATTTTGTCCCTATACGTTGTTTTACAGAGGGACAAACTAAGGTTTTGCGAGGCAAAAGCTGCTCTCTAGCTGGCTAGTTGCAGTTATGAAAATCTAGTATGAAGATTTCCCCCTCCTTGTTGCCCCTCATCAAACAGTGTTTTATTGGGCGTGTCACGGTTTTCTTTCCCGAGTATTGTGTCTTCTGGTAAACGTAATAAATGTCACAGCAAGCAGATGATGTCCATGGGGGAGAGAAGAAGGTCTACAGGGGGATGCTGTCTGTCTGTAGGGGGAGAGAAGAAGGTCTACAGGGGGATGCTGTCTGTCTGTAGGGGGAGAGAAGAAGGTCTACAGGGGGATGCTGTCTGTCTGTAGAGGGATGCTGTCTGTCTGTAGGGGGAGAGAACAAGAGAGGAGAAGCTTGTGTATTGATATAAGCCACACAACTACATAAAGTTAGTTTCTCAGAAATACTAAGATGGTAAAGATAAGATGGTTCCCTGTGAAAAGAGGGTGACATTAAGGGATTATAATGAGGGAGGGATGAAGGGAGGCTGTTAAAGGGCCCCACTGCTATATGGAGCTTCTAGGGCCAGTGTGCTGTTTCCCAGTCCTTTCTGAAACTTAGAGCAAAATATCCGCGGAAGCTATCAGATCCACAAACCTTCCTCTTGTACTACTTAACAAAAAGAATTCCACATGATCCTGGGCTGTGCTGTCAAGAGTATTTGGCTTGCAAAGTAGAGGGAGTGTGAATCTCATGAATGGGTCAGTCTTCGCGTCTGGGAGAGACCGATATAGGGAAACTTCCAGATGCGTGAGCTGAGCCCTGCCATCGAAAGCTTCTCAAGCGCTGGGAAAGGAAGATGGGTTTGCTGAGGCAGAACGGTGTTTTGTCCTGTGCAAGAGGCTGGAATTAGAGGTGGGTGAGCTGTCTTGTTCTCATGCAAGCTCACAAGGAAGTGGGCCAAGATGGGCAAGAACAGGAATGTTCCCAGGCCTGTTAGAGGTACTTACCAGTATAGCCTGGGGCTGAGCTTCCAGAACACAGGAATTTGGGAATGTGAAGCTATGTGCCTGCCTTGCAGGGACCAGAGGGCTCCTTGACTTCTCAGAAGTTTCAGGTCCACAGTCTCCCTCTCATAAGCCCTATGGCCACCAGAACTACTATAGTAAGATGTCATATTGGAAGTGGCCAGTCACCCCTGGGAGAACAGGGTGACTTTGGAAAGACAAAGCTAGTGGGTAACCTTGTGTGTACAGCCAAGAATCCAGGTCCCTTTCATTTCTTCTTTCCCTTCCCCCTTCTCTCTCTTTCCTTCCCCCCTTTCCTCTCCAACGTCCTTCCTTCAAATTAAGCTGAAGATTGGCGCCTTTGAGGAGGGCAGTGCCTTACTTGCGACAGCATCTCCAGCTCTTGCATTATTTCTGGACAAAAAGTTAGTACCATCAAACGTAAATGTCAGAGCCAAAAAACCAACAGACAAGACAAGACTCAATAAACATGGCACTTAACCCTTGAGATAAAAGATAAACATTGAATGGGTTCCTACCTGACAAGGGATCTTCACCTACATAAATCCACACACATCTATAACTGAACTGACTGCATTTTTTAGCTTTTCTTTAAAAGTAATTTTTTTTTTTTGCTATGGGCGTTTTGCCTGCACATATGTCTGCGCACCACGTATACGCTTATTGTTTGAGGAGACTAGAAAAGGACATTGGATCTCCCTAGAACTAGAGTCACAGATGATTGTGAAATGTGGGTGTTTGAAGTTGAAGCCAGGACCCCCATAGCCAGTGCTCTTAACCCCCAAGACAGCTCTCCAGATCCCCACCTTCCCTTTAGCTTTTTTCTATATGGTATGATTTTGCCTTTGGCTTTTATTTCATTTTGAGATAAGGTATTATGTAGCCCTGGCTGGCCTAGGATTCACTGTGTAGTTATGAGCTGATCTTCCTGCCTCTACTTCCCAAGTCTGTTTTCACCCATTGTGAGAGCCAAAGTTACATTTTAAGTTTTAATTACTATGCCTTAGAGATCCGTGAAACAAAAATGTCTCTGATCTGCAAGCCCCTTGCCCTAGGACAGAGAGTTCCTGAAATGCCGGAGGCTATTGTTTCACGGAGATAACGAGTCACCTGTTTTCACTCCCCTAAACAAGTTTGTG